GGTCATGATCTTGATGAGCCTCGACATCTTCAGGATAAATGATTCAGTATCTTCCGCTGGGCCATAAAACCCTTCAATTTTCTTGCGGTAAAAAAAAGAGGCCTCTTAGCATATCTCCTCATTGAAGAGACGGAGTGCTGGGCCAACCCTCATCTTTTTAAAGCTGTTAGGAAAAAAAAAATGATTTGCTGATGTGAGGCCATAACCTTTAACGTCACATTTTCCCAATCACTTCTCCAAGCCTTTCTAACGCAGTCAGCGTGCACAGGACCCTTCGGTGTGTTCAAACGAGTGTCTATAAAACCGATTTAGCTTTAGAGTGCAAAAAGTCCGAAAAAAAATGTAGAGGACGACTGTCATGACTGCCTGCATTACATGAAGCAGAGTCTCCCTGTCACTCCTTTTAATGTTGCGGGACGACGACTGACGCCGATCGAACTCGCGAGGGGCACGAAAAAGGGAACGGGCTTCTTTGCAGGACCGGTAGCCACTGTTGCAAGTCCCGGCACGGGCCCCAGGAATTGAGGTTTGGGGGGGGGGGGGGGGGGGGGGGCATTGAGATTATAAGAGTCGTTGCGAATTAAAGGGGTGCTTTCGGAAAAACAAGGGGGAAGTACACCCCCGTAGAGGGGTGTAGGGAAGTCACTGCCCCGACACAAAACACGTCCCGTCTCTCTTGTCCCGACGTTTTTCCGTCATTGCACGCGTTGTCTACATCCCACTGAACGGCACCGATCACAATCCATTTCACTCAACCATTAAAAAAAAAAAACTGCAGCAAAACAAGGCGACGACGCGAACCACGCCGATCACAAGCAGTACGACCACACGGCAATCCAAGCGGGAAGGAGCACGCCTGTTAAGGCGCGTTCACACTCTTGCAACCGAGTACGACCGAGAAAGACTTCTTGGGACCGGATGCACTGAGCGGAGCTGGTCCTAAGAGATCGCAAGAGGCTTAAAAACCGGTTTGGTCTCTCTCGGTCGCACTCGGTTGCAAGAGTGTGAACGGGCCTTTACCCGCAGCGCCCCCTGGCGTCCTTGCGCGCCGTCATCGCTGCGCCGACCTCCTCCCTCCGTTGCTTCTCGGCGCGGACGGCACACTGCCCAGTTCTAGTACACCATAGCTTGGCTTATCTGGCCCCGAGATGCAGCAACAAAAGGAGTCTCCCCGCCGTCAAGTCAACTGTGGGAGAGGAGGAAATGGGAAGTGTGGCGAGGGGAACTTTTATCTGGTTGAAAAATATTCTGCAGGTTTAGAGTTCCTGTATATGCTACCTACGGTAGCAGAGTTGCGCATTCAGCCTCGAAGGGTGGCCGTAGAGCGGGCTTTCCCGCACGAGCTGGATGCTTTACTCCTCACGTGACTAAATTTGGCGAATAGCGGCGCCGCGCGCGCCGCCGCGCATGGAAAACAGGAGAGGAGGAAAAGGAGGCGGAAAGCAGGGAAACATACGCCGGGGCAAGAGAAGCGTCGGCGGAGCGACCGTAAAGGTGGCTTCCTTGCACGCCAACGGATGCTTTGCTCCTCACGTGATGGATCTCGGCGAATAGCGGCGTGGCGGCGCGGGGAAAACAAATGCGCAACTCTGGCTCCCGTAGGGAGCCTATACAGGAACTCTATGCAGGTTGGTCTTTGAGCGCCGCGTGGTGGGAAGTTTTGAAACTAGCCCGAATGTCTCGGAATCTTGGCCGGGACCTTCGGAAGCCGTGCTGGTTTACAAAGAAGTAGTTGTACGTGCGTAAGTGGTTCATTATGTTTACAAATATTATGTGTTCCATGAGTTTACTGGGTACACTTGTCAAATATATTCTTCTATAACTAGAGAATTCATTCTTCGAACCACTTTTATAAATTGGAATTGCTTCTGCATGATTTCAGTTGTCGAGTTTTCTACCAGAGTCTAGCGATTGTTGAAAAATCAAAGAAAGAAGAGATGGGCACTCATTTATACAAAGTTTGAGAAGCTTCGATGTTATTTTGTCAGGGCCTGGTGCCGAGCTTGAGGGTATAGGTCGTCAATCAGTTTCATAACATCATGCGTATAAGGTTAATGGGGCCATTTTTTTCGTAAAAAAAAAAAAAATAAGGGTCTAGTTCAAAGTTTGGAGGAGAAAATAGGTTCTCTAAAAAAAAAAAAAAAAAAGAAAAAAGATTTCGTTGAAATACCGACCGAACTGTTCACATGTCTCAGCAGCCTCAGTGAAAGGGAAAGATTCTTTATTTTGTATTGGATTAGCAGTAGCCCAGAACTTTGCGGGTTAGGTCCTCCTAATTTTACTAAGATCCTTTTTGTTTTTTTTTGCATTCTTCATTTTGTGTTTAGACGTTTTTTCACATTGGTTGTATCTTTCCCTTGCATTTTCAGACTAAGAAAGCTTTGCAGTACTGTATAGGCGCAGTTTTTATTCAGTAGCGTCTTTAACCGTGCCGAAAACCAGGGTTTTTCAACGCACGAGTCAATACTCATATTGGGAATGTACATGTATTATGTTCTAAATTTCGAGGACATGGTTACTGGAAGTTCCAAGCGACATCAAAAGAGTCAGTTTCCTATACCTCAATATAGAAGTTTCCGCAAAGCACGTGAATTGTTTCGGTGAATTTCTGAACTTCCGCCAAATGTGCCATAAAAATCGGAAAGATGAAAGTATACATCGGGAAGGTATGGCAGCACACCTTGTAATAGCAAGATGACGTAGTGAGCGTCCTTCTGTGAAAAAGAGTGGCCCGAGCCAAAAAAAAGAAAAAAGGAGAGCTCCGTTCTAAGTGTTTCTTTGTTTATTCCACTGTTTTGAGACTAATCATGCACGCATTAAGTTACAAACACAATCGCAGTAATGGTAAAAAGAAATACGAACAACAGTGCGGCGACCAAATGATACCTAGAGTTCCACATAGAGGCGGATGTGGGCAGGGTTTAAGGGAGACCGGTTCTTATTTTTTGATTAACCGCGATGAATTTTATCTTACACTGTGCTCTTGAGTGGTCGGCTTTGAGAATGTTGCCGGTCCTTCGTGGGAATTCATGGCACCACGCGTCGACTGATCATGCAGCCTGACTAGGCGGAATCTGCCATTGACAGATTCCGCCTAGTCAGTCGATTGAGTTCCCTTGCAAATCCGTTTAGAAGAGGCATTGTTCTTCAATGGTGATCCACTCGCACTGTGGCTTGTGCGCTGTCACTGCAATCATTATGTCGCAAAAAAAGACAACCTTCCTCGACTTAAACTGAAAACAAGCAGTGAGATCACTCTGTACTGCAGATGACAGTGCTCAATTTCGCGTGCTCTCAATTTCACGCCAGTTTTGACGTCCCTTTGATTAGGAAGAGCAACAATTCGAGGGCGTGCCTATGTCACCGAAACGGCGAGTGCCGTGCCATGTATAAACCTTTCCAACAAACGCCTTCTGCGAGCTGCCATCTTTTCTTACTGGACTGTTAAACGCCTTCTGAGCACGCGCAATAGCGCCACTTGCGAAAAAATCGTACGCCGCGCCTGCGTAACAGTCCAGTGACTCGACATTTTTCGCCTGGGCGATAAGCGATGGAAAGGTCTATAGCCAAGAGTGAAAAAATGCCACGACTGTGGACATCGATGATAATCTCGCGAGGGAAGAACCAGCAAGTTTCGCCGGATAGTTCTGCGTTCACAGGAAGGCAAGCGCTATCCGTCGTTCCTATTTCTTTAAGATTATAATTGGCCATAAATTAAAGCAGTTGTTTCTTATTGTCATAAACTTACCTGAAGTCAACAGCATCGCGGTATTAATTACCAATTTCCAGGTTCCACAGCAACACAAAGAAACAAAATCGTTGAATGAACAATAACTGACTTGGGGCTCTAGACTCCTGAAACACAAGGTTGGAGTCTAAAGTTCGCGGAGCGTACCGATTGGATTTCGGCGACAAAAGTGCGGTGCTATCGTCGAGAGCGTAAAATCGGTGGGCTTCCTAAACTTCGGCCCCAACTTTGTGTTGTGCGAGTCTGATCGAGGCCCCTGGTATAGTCAACCATGCACAATCATCTAGATTCTGAGTTTCTGGGTCGACCTTTCGCTTCCTGTTGATGCTGTGCACACAGTCCAAGTTTGATTGACGTCGTGTGCTTGATTAAACAAGCAGAAAATCGGTAAAACCCAAAAAATGCTTTGAAAATACTCTTTATTAAAACTATTGCTCCTTCGTTCACATATTCGAATATATACATTGCTTCTTATTGCACAACAATACGCGCCACTATATATATATATACATTCTTATTGCAATGCGTCCCGTCCCGGTCGTCAATAACACGTTTTAGACACACTAAAATAACACGAGTTAACAATACGATGTGCACAGGTTTCAGCCTTCAGCTGTCCCGGTTTGTCTTTGGTGAACTAGCGATGCATGAAGAGTGGGTGAAGACTCTACGCAGAAGTGATAACGCTAAAAAGAAAACAACCAAGAACAGCAACGTTCGCCGAGAAGCAACATTTCGTGAGACACAAGGCCCCTGCACCGAATATCGTGACGTCATAATTGGCACCCTCACATTCAGTGCTGAACCCTCCATGTTTCGTCAAAGTTTTGGAACTGGCAAAATGTCAGGCAACCGTGACTGGAAGTGGATCTCGGTAAAACAAAATGAAAATCGGCAAAACTGAGCAACGAGGGTGTGGCCTCCTGATGTGCGTTTGAAATGTATTGAATAGCACAAGAACAAAAGGAATGAACAAAATATCGAAGAAAACGAACAAAACGTATTACGCTTAGGAAAATGAACTACAATCTCTCTTGCTAGGCCAAGGTTCGCGTCAGTGAGCATTTATACAACATATATATGTATATACAGGCACACAATATCTAATGAGAATCTAACGATTGCTAAACCCGGCCCATCGAACCTTCAAAGAGTTCAGAAAAATATTGCACTTGTTGAATATACTGGTATTCCGTTGATGGTAAAATACATAATCAGGCATATCACGAAGTCTTCGTTTTTTTTTTTTTTCTCTATAACCTTTTTGAAAGTAATTGTCTACCCTAGACAAAATGAAAGAGCGACAGGATCTCTCATATGGCCTCGGCCAATTGTGTTTTGTGAGGCACACAAAATTCAATATACATATACAATAATCTTGTTCTATGAAATTAATGAATCCGAGAGCGGTCGTCTGGATGATTTCCCCAAGCAGCGATTTAGAGAAACAACCCTTCTTTGCTGGGTGCTTTTATGGCGGCGGTTTCATTAAAATATTACTAACAGAACCCATTTTGGAACGCCGCTACTTATAATTGCACTTGTTCCGACAAAAAAAAATCAGTTGCAGGCCAACGGCATTTAACTATAATGGCGCGCAAACGTCGTCAAAAGCACCGAGGGCAATAATGAACCAGCATTGTTCTGAGACGTCTAAAGATCCCGACGGTCATTTCTCGAGTTCGCCCTGTATAAGCCGGCACACCCTAAGCGGGCAGTTGCCTAAGCGCGCAACGATGTCATAAACACACACACAGTCATGGCTATTCAAGGCAGAATTTGTAAAACATACGCACGAGCCCTTTGTTGGTAAAATACATTTTCGCGTGAAAACAGAGGCACTTATTTTGAAATAAACACGGTTCTTCGCGTTCACTGACAAGGTGTTGACTACGCTGTGACGGACTGGAGCTGCAAGTCGCGGGAACTTCGCTGTCCCAGTGGAGGAATTTCGTAATGGAGACATCCAGACTGCTCGTCTCCATGGATGTAGGATTTGTGCCGGTTGTAGGTCGACAGTGGGCCAGTCACAAACATCTGGAACGAGAAAATACAAAAACATTAGTTTGAAGAATTTCTCAATATTAGTTGGTCCCTAACGAACTTATATTTTATACAGATGTATCTAATCTCCATTGGGGCACCAGAACATTAAAATTACGCTAACGTTTTCTTTTCTTTTTTTCCTGTTTTATTATTTTGTTGTCCATCAGAAACAACAAGTTTCAGTGTTTGCTTTTTAATTCTCGTACTTAAGGATCGCAATTCAGAAAGTCATAACTTATTTTTAGTTGTCTGATGTTTAAAGTGATTGGGACTATCACATTGTCCACAGAAAGCACATTAGCAATGGAATGCAATGAACTAATGGAATTATGAAATGTTTCAATCTAATTGGATCTGATGCAGATTGCTGTACCCCCCATGCCACGATAAAATCACGTGATTTTTCGCTTTCTTTGAGAGTTTTAGCAGGTCGTTCCGATGACTTCGATAAAAATATCCGATACTTCGCCACCGCCTTTGCGCACGCATAGTATCGTTATCGGGGGTATAAGAGCTATCGGAACGATCTACTAAAACTCTCTACTATTATTAGTTTCATAGTTTCCAACTATAATACGCCTGCGTGTTAGCGCGCCGTCTTTATCTATATGTGCTTTTTTCTAAATAATATTTTATGTCTGAATAACTACACGTAATATTTCCGAGTGTCAAACCTGCCTCCAGTGAAATGGGAAGACAGGCTTATTTACAGTTGATATACGCTTACGTTAGTGAGCTCCACTGAAAAGTAAACCCGCTTTTCTATCTTCTCTTTTTGATCTTTTTCTCGCTTGAACCAATTTTATAAGGAGGAACTCTAAGGTCAACTTGAGCCAAGAAATCATAGAACTACAAGTTACCATTGACCTACAAAAAGTAAAAAAGGACACGACTCCTACAAGGGGTAGAACATAAAACGAAGCTCAGGTCGATTGTTCATCAGACTTTTTTTTTTTTTTTTTGCGCTTTCTTTTTGTATAAACAAGTTGAAACTTTCTATAAATGCGTCTCTGCTCGACGGGATTGTCGACAATGAAACCCCGCACGCAGACCTCAAGCCACGGCGTCGCCCTCCTCAAAGACAATGGTTTTCCCTGACCCAAACATCCACACCGCCATCACCATCACCCCCGCGCCCACGTCGTGCTCGATCTTGCGCAGCGGCCGGGGACGGAACCCCGAATTGATGGCACGGCGCCCATCACACGAAGTCCTTGAGCGTGCTCCAGACCGACCGACTAAGATGGATGATGGTACCGTCCGCAACCCGCGAAGCTAAAGCCACGGGACCGACAGCACTCGGGAAGGACGCCGATGCCATGTCGTCGTCGCAGTCGTCGTCATCGGTGCTTCCGAGCAACGCCCGAACCGATGCTACCACATTTCATTTCGCATCGCGATGGACCACCGAGCACTCTACGAGCCGTCGAAGCCAATCCATGACGTGCGGGTGTCACATGACCTCCGGAAGGGGCGCAGCGATTCGCGGGGTGCGTTGTCACGTGATAAAAGTTGCCAGCTCTGGATTGGTTCGGATGGCTCGCAGGGTCCGTTGCGGACCGTCGGTCCCAGTTCCAGGAGCTACTCTTGGAACTGGGAACGGCGGAAGCAAGCACGAACCCGTGTGTCATTAGGCCTAGGGGTAGGAGCGGTGGATGCCTCGGGACGAAGAACGAGAGCCAAATCTGTGGCTGATTCCCTGGAGGCGGGAACCGCGACAGCGCGGACATCTGATATCTGCATGGGGAGTCCTCCATTAGGACGTCCGTGGGACAACTGCTCGTGAAGAACTCGCCTCCATGCGTAGCTTGTGTTGCTCTTTTCTTTGCCTTGTTCTCTTAAGGCTGCTAGCGAGGGGAGTTGGTCCTGCTGTTCTTTTGTTTTTGTTTTTCCTCCGCCGTGTATTTTAGTTCGTTTACAGTCAGCTTTTTCACTAATACTAAAAAGAAAGAAATTTTTCTGCAAATTCGCGAGTATGTTTTTTCGAGAATAAATACTTTCTGCGCAGTTGCCGCTTTGAATCCGCTAATTTTTCTGACTTTCGGATAGAAGGCTTTTGCTTGGTGCGTATATCCACTGCTCGAGACCCTGATGGCATATAATTCTGCGCTCAAACAACCCTTCGTTTTGGTCCAACAGCGTGCGATAATACAGAATCATGTCCCCACACTATCAGCGAAACGAAGTTCAACGGTGCGGTGTTTGCCCGCGAATAGATCGAGAGCCTCCTCTCACTCCTTCTATTTACGCGGTTTGTGTGATTTGACCACCTATTCATAGCCACCGTTTTTTCTGTTTTTTTTTTTCCTTCTCCCGTAATCCGGTCAGTTTGCGAAGTCCGTTGTCAAAATAGAGGTCGTCATGTTTGTTTTTTCAGACGCACACTCCCTCCTCTTCCGCCTGTCGCTCCCGCCGACCTCAACGCGGTACGGGTTAGGCCTCGAACGAGCTGTCAGTTTGAGCCTTTCGTTTGACATCGAAGGACAGTACTGCTTTGTTTATAGGATGGACTAAGGGACGTCGCGAACCCGTCGAAGCAGGTTCGACTATTTCGAACTTCTAACGTAAAGTTCGAAATGAGTCCGACTGAATTTCGACAGGTATTATGTTCGTGCGCAGAATTTACCTATACTTCGTTTCAGCTTCCGTCCGAGCGACGCCAATACTACGTGTGGCCGGAGCCAATCACACGCCGGCAATAGGTCACGCGATCTCGCCTGCACTTTTGTATCACTCCGCTGCGCCGCTGGTCTTCCGCGCCGCCCGTGCTCGCCGAGTATTTCATTTGCTACGGGTGTATCAACGGTATCGTCTACTACAGGTTTAAAAAGTGTCCTTTCACGTTCTGAAATTTAGTCAGAGGGGATGCCAGTACGTAGGCCGGCCGCTATCGTCTGTGTCCGAGCCGTCCACCTGTTCGGAGTTTCAGCATAGTTTCGACATCTAAGTACACATTGCAACGTGCCCGATGACCCAGCCGTTGATGTTCCCTTGTATTGGCGCAGTCCTTTCCCCCAGCTTCTCGGCGTTCAATGTGATCGGCAGGTAAATGGGTGCCCTGATTTCGCCGCGTATCAGTGGATTGTAGTGGCCCGGACGCTTTTCTTGTTTACAACGCATTCGCGGCACGACGCGGCCGGAGTCTCCTGCCGAATTTGAAAGGAGACATTCATCACGACCTCTCTCACCTGACGCCCAAATGTGCCTTTGCGAAAGGACGTTTTGAAGCGACCCGGTGAGGAAAGCAGTCAAGCCCATGATCCGGCCATTACGCGAACATCGGGAACGAAATCACACAGAAAAACCGAGCGCTGCAGCCCTGTTGCCAGAGGATGTGCGTGTTTTCACCGAACCACATTATTTATTTATTTAATTTATTTAATTTAAAGAATACTGCGGCTCACATCTGTGAGCCATAGCAGGGGTGGTTACATAATGGCATGATGTGATGTACTTATGAGCACTTTCTCGTGGCGGAAGCGATTGCTTCAACAAAAATATCAAGTGATGTGAGGGTGACTATTTCATTCGTCAAAGAATTCCATTCACTGATTGCCCGAGGAAAAAAAGAATATTTGAAGACATCGTGCTTAAGAGGATATTGTTTAAAGGGATACTGAAGCGAAACTTGAAATACACCTATTATGGTCAGAAATAGGTTCAATATGATCAATGATATTCATAAATCATAATCGCGCGTTTGTATTTTGAACGGATGGCTATATTTTTCACCCTGATGGGCCCGATTGGGCGCGCGCTCAAAAATCGGCCATCGGAGAGCGCGATGCGTCTTGGGATATTGGGCGCATTCGTGACGTCACTTGTGCCGGTCGGGAAAGGCTACGGCGTGAATGTTGTGGTTACGAGCGTTGCCACTTGGTGGCGCGTCGACGATTTACGACCTGTGACAACGTGGCCGTTTGAGATGTGCAAGGGCTGCACGCACGCTGCACCACGGGACCACGGCAAGTCGGCAACCACGGCAGCACTGACAAAACCAGCTCTGAGGCCGGATTCTCAAAGCGAATTCACGACGAAAAAAGTGCGTACGACAAATTTGAGAGAAAACCCGTGCTCTCGAAACGAAATTGTCGTAACCTTTGCGCAGGTTACGACAGAATCCTACGACAGCTCCGAAGCTGTCTTACGCACTTTTTACGATCAAATCAACAAGGCCGACTGCGTCGCTCAGTTACTTGGTATCGGCCACCAACGGACATTTATTTTTCTTCGTGCTCTTCTCGTGCGTCCCGACTTCAAGCAGCAAGAAAAAAGGAAGAAAACAGACCACGACGATCAAGAACGCAGGATCCACAAACACACGAGAAGAGCTACAACAGCCACGATTCTGCCGACCGAGCGAGCTCGGCAGAATATAGTAGGCCTAGCAGCAACATCGACTCGGCGCACCGTTGCTCCGGCGGTCCTTGGCCAAGACCGTCTGTCCATGACCGGCTCGCCTGCTGAATGGAATATGCCCGCGCGACCCTTGTGGACCCTTACCGGATGAGTAGTTTGATCCCTGAACTAAATTTCAGAGGTCAATATTTTCCCCTTGTCATCTCGATCTCCTTGTTTTCCGAGACAGCGGTGACGAACGCCGTCGTCGAAAAGGGACTCTCATTGATTCTATCTCCTTGTTTTGTGTGATATAGAGCTCAAATAAACGCCATACGGATTACCTTGGCAACTCGGTATGTACACTCTGTTATTAGTATGCCATTTTTATTCTGACTCAACGCTACGTCAGTGTCGAGCTATAGCAGTTCGTGGGAGCTACGCGATGTCGGTCTAACCTTTCTTTGCCGAGTGTCATGTCAGTATCGAGTTGCAATCGTAAAAGATCGGTCCAGAAGCGCTTACCGAAACGCGGTCTAACAGAGCGAATCCAGCACTTCGATCAAACGCGCGCGTCCGCTCCGAGTGTGAACAGGTATTTGGCATTTGCGTGGCTCTTGCTGACACCCTCGTAGTTCAAACATATCCTTTTTAACGTCGGCTTGCAGCTCGCGACTCGCAGCAACTAATACCGGCCGTGCCAGAAGCATGCTCGGGCCGTGTCGTGCAAAGAGCCGCAACGAGAACGAGCTCACTGTGGCCAACTACGCTTTGGCTTTCTCCGCCAAGGCTTTGCAAACGCGTTCAGGCCTAGGCGAATTCTGCCGGCACGCCGTATTGCCGCAGAACGGCGCTGCTATTTTGGCACAAGTGATGTCACGAGAACTTCCCCCCATCCACCAGATGAGAATTTGAAATCGTTTAATTATGTTTAAAATTAGTTCTCCTGTGTTTTACAGCGCAATATTTATATTTCTGAGGTGGTGCCTGTCCCTAGCCCATATTTATGCAACAAGATCGGCGCTAAAATTTCGTTTCACTACCCCTTTAATGGCCCTAGTATGGTTCAGTCTAGCTGATCCGCTTGATGAAAATTGTATGTATCTATCTCTACTGACATTAAAAATTCCATTAATAAAAGAATATAAATTTCGCAGTCTGTCTATTTTAGCTCTAATCTCCAATGGCGGGATGTTAGCTTGCTCTAGTAAGCTCGAGGCAGACACACTATATCTGAACTTATTAAATATAAACCTTCCAGCCAGTCTTTGTACGCTTTCAAGTTTACTGATTCCTTCTGCCGTGTGCGGATACCATACTGTGTGCGCGTACTCTAGAATAGGTCGTACAATTGATTGGTAAGCAGTCTTCTTTGTTTCGTTATCCGCAAATTTTAAGGTGCGTCTTAGTGTGTATAATTTTGCCCTGGCCTTATTCGTTATGTCATCGATATGCTGGTTCCAAAGAAGTTTACTGGTTATTGTCACTCCAAGATAGTTATGGCGGTCAACAAATTTAATGGGAATCGCATCTATTGAATAGCAATATTTCAAGGGATTCTTTTTCCAAGTAATTGTCATTGCAACGGTTTTATCGTTGTTTATTTTCATTTGCCATTTGTCTGACCCTTCCTTAATTTTTAATAAAGCCTCATTAAGTGCTACCTGATCTTGAGGTTATTTTATTTCAGAGTAAATGACACAATCATCCGCGAATAATTTAACCGGAACTTGAACATCCTTAACGGTGTCATTGATATAAATTAAAAATAAAAGTGGCCCCAGCACGGAACCCTGTGGTACCCCTGATGTTACTGGCAGAAGTGAAGAAGTCCCATCCTCAAGATATACACATTGCGATCTATTGGAGAGATAAGAGGTCATCCACGTAATTAACTGATCGTTTTTAAAAATAGCCGATAGCTTCAGAAGAAGTTTAGGATGCGATACGCGATCGAACGCCTTTGAGAGGTCAAGAAAAATTAAGTCAGTCTGCCCCCTGTCATTTATTCTATTTGTAAGTTCATGAACTAGCTCAATTAGCTGTGTACTCGTCCATAATGATTTCCTAAAACCATGTTGGAACGGGGTAAGAATATTGTGATTATCAAGATATTGCATTCATGCATTCAAATATATTAATAAAAACATAAACGTCATATATTTAATTCTTTAAGTTGGAAATCATTCTCTGCAGTACAAATCTGGAATATTGTGCAATGTTTACGTACAAAAGACTTATTTAAAAAAAAAAAATTATTACTTTTGCGGCCTACTTTGTGGTGCGTAGGAATGCTCTTCTCGAAGTTGCGAACCGTCCCTCAGCCTTTGGCTGCGCTCGGACGGAAGCTGAAACGAAGTATAGCAGACCAGGCGTGCGCACGACGTCATCCCTGATGGATTCCCGACCAGCCTGAAGAGGCAAACACGCTGAAGCTTGACGAGAGAACGGCCGGTGTGCTAGCGTCGCGTTTTTGTGAGACGCTAGCAGCTGCTCATAAAAGCGTCGATGGTGCTTCACGTTGCAATGCACGCCAAACCTCTCTGCGCTACACAAGAGATTTAATAGAGAACGGATTTCGAGCTCTCTGCTTTTTGTAAGCTTGCCATTTCGCCAGTAATATCTTTAGCTCTTATTTGTGGGTACACCTAAAGGTAGCTAGCTGCTTTTGGCACCACTGCACTCGTCGCACGTGATCAAGTGCGAGAACCAAACGCCGGGCGCCGCCGTTTCGCGTTCTGACGCGTACGACGAGTGCAGCGGAGACAAAGGCTTTAGGTCTACCCGCTCATTGTTCCTACGCGGTGCGAAATAGTTCTCACGAGATTCGGTTGTCGGAGGGAAAAAAACGATGCTTTTGGCGTTTGGAACGCGTGCGTTTTGATAAGATAACGCATATGTAATCTAAAATTCTCCTACATATATTGTATGTATGAACATGAAAGGGGAAATTAGTAATGCTCCCCTAGGAGCCGGATTTTTTTTACAACGGTTCTTGAGGTGAAAACGGGTGTAGAGTTCGGCGTTTGGCGTCCCTGCGCATTCTCGTCTCCCCCTTTCCATTAGTTACTGCCCGCATAGACTTCCTTGGAACTTCATAGGACTACAGGAAGGAACAAGATTTCAAAAGTCACCACCCCGCAAAAGTGCTGGCATATTTGAATAGATCAGAACATCAATTAACTCGGAAATTAACCAAACTTAACCTGCCTTAAAAAAAAAAAAATTATACGCAGCTTTTGCTCTTCTCGCATTTTTTTTCTGGCAAAGGTTTATTGCTTTATTAATCTGGATTATTTCAAAGTTACCACCAAATCTCTTCGGGTCACCTACGGCGTCCACAGTCGTCCCTGCAGGGTAGCGACTTTCTCAGTGCACGAGGCCCACATTGAATTTCTGCCTCATTATCTATTATTCTTTGAACCTCACAGCACAAAGAATGAAGGGGATAAGAAACCAAAATTATTTTTAGCTTCAGATTATCCAGAAATTTTTTTTTCTGGATAATCTTTAATTTTTGTTTTAATTTTTCAACAAATACGCTACATCTTTGTACAAACAAAAAAAAAGTATTACTTTTTTGCCAAGGAAAACTTGAGTACTGTCTCCTACGTCCGATGATATCCTAGTCGAAAGGAATTGATGGACTACTTGAAGGTTGTATAATGTAGTCATCGAGCATCTCGTGAATTACTCGACTTCAACCTTGTCTGTGCACAGCCAGGTAATTGAGTATAAGGGTAGTCAAAATCAATAGCTGATGTCAGTGTCACGAATAGAAACTGGCAACCCTATCGAAAAGACCATCAGGAAAATCCTGATGGTCTGATGGTCTGATGGAGTCGTATTTTGGGACGGCTAATGGTCTGATGGTTTGATGGTTTGATGGTCTGATGGTCTGATGGTTTGATGGTTTGATGGTTTGATGGTTTGATGGTGTGATGGTTTGATGGTTTGATGGTTTGATGGTTTGATGGTGTGATGGTTTGATGGTCTGATGGTCTGATGGTCGAATAACCTGTCGTATTTTGGGACGTCCATTTTTAATAATTGGATTATGGTGGTTTGATGGCTAATTTGAAACATTGAAGTTCGAGTTGGCCACCACTTAAACAAATGGTTGAGTGCAAAGCACGACAATATGTGAATGCATAATGTGGAAATTTAATTACGCCATGTTTGGAGCGTGACGAAATGCATGTCCCACTTAGAATTGAATTATATTGTCCACTGCACACTAGTAATCACCAGCCTGATGTATGAGTACGGCAAATGCAGCTACTAATAAGAATAAAGTCAAACAAGCTGCGTTGCTTTGATATGTTTATTATGAAATTATGACATTATACATTGCTTTGCTGGGAGCATATGGTACAGAAAAACCACAACATTTGAGGAAGTAACATCGTGACTAATATGAGTTGAAATGTCATGACGCGTGGCATGGGGTACTATCAGCACCACCTGTCAGATTTTTCAGCGAACCTCAGTGTTTGCTGAGGTTTAGGCAGATTGCTGATTGCACTCATTGCACCACTATGAGCTAGATTTTGACACGGAACGGCATAGTGGTGCAATGAGCGCAAGCGATTTGTCTCCACCTCAGCGCATGCTGAGGTTTACTGAACAATCCGAGAGACAACTCTCATAGTATCGTGCGCCACGCGTAGTGGCATTTCAGCTCGTATTGGCTGCAATAATACATTTGTTCCATTTCAACAGTATTTCCAATATATAACTTAAGCTAAATTAATATAAAAAAAACGGTGAAAAGGCTGCATCGAGTGCAAGCGATGGCAGACCTGCAGCAGCATGAGCAGTCCGTGGCGGGACCATACGTTGGGGCAGGACAGGGCAAAGGGATGAGCCTGGACATATCAAGGGCAATTTAGTGACCAATGAGACCAAACACAGGAAGATTATTGACATACGTCAACAAAAGAGTGGGCCGAGAGACGACAGAGGGACAGTAAGAGTGACATGCTTCATTGTAATTGTGTTACCATGCAACGTTTTGGGGATTTATTGAGCACAGCCTGACGGAGTAGCAATAGCAATCAAGCAACCCACAGCCTTTTCAAGTGGTCAGCTGATCAACACACTACTTTAAAGTTGTTTGCATAAATATTTAGAGATATATTAACCTCTAAATAATTTATCTATACCATAATTTAAAATAATTGCTTGTAAACTTGAGACCCAAAATAGTATGTTACTTAATTAAGAAAGTTATACTATACAAGCACATACCTTTTTAGCGATTTCTCCTCAGATCCGACAGCTTTTCGGACAGGTACCGGCGCATCTTCTGGTGCCGGGCTGCCCTTTCAGCCTGGCGGTACCCCCTCTCCCTTAGGTATAGCCAAAAGCAGCCTGGAATATGGAAAATCCAGGGTAATAATTCTTTGCAGTGCTCAGACCTAAAGGAATTTTGAACCAAAATTTGGACTTCAGAATACAGAGCAGGAGCTGTAGGCGGGACGCTACAATCCCTACAACACTACTAGTAAGGCAACATTTCGAATGGATGGCCGTATTTTTAGAAAAAGAGGTTGAGATTGAATGAGGCCGACGAGGCACGTGATGTGAAGATATCTCGTTTCCTCCTTTCTTCGCTTTGCCCCCTCAAAGCGGCGAGGCGGAGAAGACGCGAGGCCATTCCCTCTCTTTCTTGGAAAAACAAGACGTAAACATATCTGTCAAATGCGCCTCTTTTTTTTTTTAAATACGGTCATCCATTCGAGATATCTCTGTCTGAGTGATGTTTTGGTGTTCGTAGCATCCTGTTGCACGCTTTTGCCGCCGTGTTTTGCGGAATCCAGATTTTTGTTCAGCATCCCTTTAAAACATTGTAGAACACCATACACACAGGCTGGAGGGTCATAGTTTAAGAAGACCAAGTGTAAATTAGTCTTAATGGAAGCAGTTAACTGGCAGCTGGCACCTTAGAATTTAGACAGTTCAGAGATTACCATAAAAGCAAAAGTACCGCAGCATCCTGATGCATGTTCCACTCCCACCCTGGCTTTCGTTAGATTCTTTTAAGCACAAAACAGGTAACCCATGTCTATAAATCTCACTGCTAGGCCAGTGACTTTGTAAGAAACAGGAGCTGCAACTGGAGATAAGTAGACAATGAACACTGAAAACTGCTTACATTTGGTCCTCATCTCTCGCTGTGGTAACAGCTTAGACAGGCCACAGAATTTAAAAATAGAATTATGAACAGCAGAAACAACCAGTGCAGTTCTATATAAAAACAATCTTTCACATTCCTTAAAAGATCGTCCATTCATGGCCTGGCTACAATATTTATAACCCTTTTTGGTAGCACTCTATGAGGTAGTCTACCTTATATGTTCACCTAACTTTAAATTTTAAGTTAGGTTACCCTCAGGATATTATAGCTGCTTGTTTTTGCTTAACCTTCTAAAAGACTCCAAATCATTATTTCTTTACTTAACCAATATAACAATCTGAGATCTCCATAACAAAGCAATCCTTAGGTTCGGAGTCACTTGAACAAAAAAGAGAAACTGATGGTTTAAATGAGTTCAGAACATTTACCCCCTACAGTTGGCATACATCATAAAAAGTGCATTTCACACCACGAATATACATGTCAGCAAGTCGATTATGACCATAAGAAAATTAAATGCAAATGCTAAGAGGAACAGTTTATGTTGCTTTTCTTCCCTGAAACTAATAGCCAATATAAGTGAATACCTTTCGTAGCGTAGGCTATTAAAAACAAGGGAATGTTTGTTCCTGCATTTTTGCACATTTCTCTTTTAGTTCAACATGCTGCTTTGAATTTTAATCTGATGCATGTGTCCCCACTAAGAAAAATAAGTAGATAAAGCAAAACAAACAAGTTTTCATAATGCCGAAGTTAAATTCCTCTAGGAATTAATTGGTGCTTTTCGAAAAAATGTGCTTGCACAAGAAGTTACACAAAGTCCAGAATGTAGCTTAGAGTAAATCTTAAAGGGGCACGGAAACGGAATTCCAGAGCTCATTTGCTAGCTTGGATATGGGCTAAGTTGCAGTATCACCTCGAAAACAACAATCTTTCGTTGAAAGGCACGAGAAAACTAAATTTAAAGCTAGTTAAACAGTCTTTCAATGTGCACCTGGTGGATGCCCCCAAAGCTTCGTTGGGAAGTAATCTAGCAAGGTTAGAGATCTTGTGACATAGTGGTGACATAACAGAAACCGCTACGTAGCTGCACTACACATCGGAGCAGCGCCGCTCTTTGGAGGTAACTCAACTGTTGGAGTAATCTCGCCCTGAACACGATGACCTTGACATGACTTATCTCACACGTGGGCGCTTAGTTGGCTTAGTCCACGTTGGTCCATGCAAAGCCCACAGGTGTTTCAAATGGCTAGGCTGTAGCATGTTTACACCACCATGCAACCGAACCGCAACTTTGCCGGATAACCCACGACGCATCGCACACTCCGTTGACTTCTCTTCGAGCGCTTGCTCGAGTTTGCGGCTTAGAACGAAAAATAAAACCATCTTTTCAAAATAAAAATGTGCAATTATTATTTACGGTTATTATCTGTTATGCTTGACTTTCATTCTTGGCAGGTCACACGTCCGGGTGTTAGCGGACAACCTACTAGAGTAAAATCTCGGTGATACTAATTGGTATGAATTTCAGAATGAAATGAATTCACAAATTCCACGGTCAAAGCGCAATGCATACAACGTGAAAATTTTCTGGTATTCCAAATACCTCGACATGCTGCAACCACTGATATGAATGCATGCCCCGCATCTGATAATGGTAAGGAGGCCACAATCGGTGACTGTAAGCTCCCAAGGCTCCGGGCAGCTGATTGCCGGCTGCTGCCAGGGATCAGCCGCACTTTGTTTACTCAAAGACGTGAGCTCAAAATTAAATGCGTTTTACAATCGGACACAAAAACTAAAACTAAACAAAATGCTAAAAGAACTGTGCAAAGTGGCCAGCCCCATCACCATCAACACATGCTTCAAATCAAATCCAATCTGAATCCAAATTCGCTGTTTTGTTTTTGCGATCTTGTGGAATCGTGGTTCAACCTTGGAAAAGCAAAACCAATTTTACTTTAAGGTTACCTTTAAAAAAAGTGATCGCACTGGCAAAAAGAGAAAACCGAGTGGTGTTGGTCGTGTCTTCGGTGTGGTCCACGGTGACATGCGAGCTTGGTTGGAAAGACAAAGGAACCGAATATCGAGAGTGTTCGATGTAGGGCTTCAATAGCACCCAGTGTGGGCACTTTCGAGTATGTGAGTTTGATAACATGCTTTCTATGAGGTGTATGTTGTTCAGCCGTCATATTTTATCTGCGCAGTAGAATCGGCACCAATTTTTTTAATATTCATGGGTTGAATATAACTGTGTGTTACTATCGGGGGCATGTTAGAATCGTGCAAATTACATACAAGATATTTTCTGCCATAAATAAATCCATGGTAATGCATTCCTTGTGCTTCAAAATATAAATTTCATTTCGCTTTTGTTGATACGAATTTAGCATGAAATATTTTACGCGACCCCGCGAGGATTGTATCAAGATTTTAAACAAAATGCTTGCTTACCTGAGAGAGCCTGCACCTTGTGCGGAGTAAGTGGGGCAAATGCTTTTTCTTGCCCCGCTGCTTTTGCTTTGTTTGAGAGGGTGCCGGTCACTGACTTCTCTAAAAGCACTTCCACTGGCCAAATGGAAGAGGCCGTGATTTTACAAAACATAGAGTCGCTCTCCGCTTTCTGCATCTCCATCCAGGATTCTTGATTGATGTAGACTCCTTGCCCAGCATGGATCTGCAATAAACAAAACCGAGAAAGTTTTACACATACCAGTCGAGTTGACACAAAGTAGTCCTGTATTCTCCAAGAAGGTGCATCTAAAAAGCACTAAATAATTACAGGTATAAAATTTAGGCCTTTAAATTTAAAACAGTACTACCTTTAAATTCTCATCCACATGGGCATCTGCAAAGTTGATGAGCCCACAAAGCTTCATGTCACTTGCATCAAACAGGTATGTAACCCCTAGTTGCATCATGTGAGCGTGACAATAAAACATTTGCAGGCCCTGGCTATAACTACAATTAAGAGCCTGGCTACAATAATGTTTTAAAGGCTTATGGTAGCAATCAATTCAATCTACTGTGCGTACACCACCCTGTTCTTTTAATGTACCGCATTAACTCGTGTAAGGGCCGCACTATTTTTTCCCGGTTTGAGGGCAAATTTTCTATGTGCAGCCCCATACACGGATTAAAAAAAATAAAAAAAATATCTGTATCCACATTCCGAAATGAACGTACATGAGCACACTCGGCTGCACTGGTCAGAAACGCCTTCACTCCGGAATTCAAACTCAATCGTCAGTCGGATTTAATTAGTTTACATACTGCGCAATACGCATCTTTTTTTTTTTTTTTTTCCCGTACTTGATAGCATGCGCGGCAACTTTTGACTTCAATCCCGTATGACTGTTGAAGTGGTACTTGCCCATAGCTCTCAGATTGCGCGAAAAGGCAGACAAATTGCGACACTTTGACACAAATCGAAAAACAAAAGGAAACCTCCGCAAAGCGTACAGTGGTGTTCGAAAACTTAGTGCACGCGCGAGCCGAGCCCGCTAAATCCCCATTCCTCGCGCTTGCCACGGAACCTGACATATCCTTTATCTTTTCTCAACGCCTTGCTGCAACACAAACGCATCCCATTTGTGCCGCCGACCATGATCGAGGTCGACAGCCATTATGCCATACGGTGATACGGATGAGTGGAGAGCAGATATCAGAGATGCGGACACGTGCTGCTATGTGCTCCGGCAGAGGCTAGTGCCACCTAGCGATACAAATTCATAGAAAACGTGGCATTACAGTCGGCACGCCTCAAAAACAAGGGGGTGCGGTGCATACGCAAATAATTTCAGTAATTTTTTTTTTTTTTTGCAATGCTTTGTTCTAAATATGGGGGTGCGGCCCTGACACGCGATTATACGGTATACCATACATTGCATGGAACTGCGAAAAAAATTTTATTTTACCATTTCATCCTCATTTTGGAGGCCGATGGTGTGATCCACGATCTCGTTCTTAGCAAGGCCGTCCACCTCAGCAACTGAAAAACAATTTCACATTAACTAAAGTTATGACAGTGTAAAGCTTTTGAATTTACATTAATACAAATGCAAACAGGATCATGTTAATATTCAGATTTTTCTATACTCTAGGAGCTTGAAGAAACTCTTTGCAAGAGCTTCACTAGTGGAACACGCAGTAAAACATCTAGTAGAACCCCGATAATTCATCTTGGTTGGTTTGAAATTTGTATAATTATATACATATATATGTATAATTTGCAATATTTCCATGGTTCCGTAACTTTTCATGAAAAACGTTCAGCCTTTCCATTCTTGTGAAGAGGGAAGACCAGCGGAGCTGCACTCGATACACTGCTGCAACGCGCACGCGCCCGTTTCCCGATTCTTCTTGTCCGACACGCCGCCGATCGTGGATACGTCTCCGTTGACCCAGAGTCGATTGCACTAAAGCCTGTCTATCCTGGGAAAAGTGGCGCCATTCATTGTTGCAGAAATGCTCGAGGCATGTGCCGCACCCACTTCTGAGAAATTCATGGCGTTTGAAATCTAACTCAGTGCTGCGCTGTGCCACCATGATCTTCCCAAGGGCTGCACGTGCCTCGTGTATCGATGCACCTTGCGCTACTTTCGAAACATGAAGGAGCTTTAGGTCGCACACGGTGCACGAGACGCCAGACGGGTAATCCACGGACTCCCTCTGGAACATCACCGTCGCGCCCGGCAACTGTTTTGCCGGCGTGGAGTGCAGTCGTCGCCGGGCCTCGCACTTGCGTTTGGCCTCCGTGGCACGATCGTCATCCGTGGTGTTGGCCTGCCCACGCCCTTTACATCGCTGGTTTTGTTCTCGGCGGCGGCTTTCCAGGCAAGCGATGTGCTCTTCTTTGGCAAGGGAATCTGAAGCGCTCGACGTAGTGAAGTCGAGGCGACAGCGGCTTTGCGGTGGTTACGGACCCATTCGCACTGCTGCGTACGTCGCCGCTCTTTCCGCAGCCAGTCTTCTTTCCCCAAAAGGGCACGCGGCTGACCCATCGTAAGTCCAAACCGAAACTGACAAGAGCGTAGGAAACAGTGTGCTAAACAGACGAGGACAAAGAAACACATGTGACGAGCGCTGCGCTCGTTACGTGTGCTTCTTCTTTGTCGTCGTCTGTTTTCGCACTGTTTTCTACGATGAATTCCCACCAACGCGCCGCCCAACAATCCATTCTTCTATGATAGCTGGAAAGGTTGCCGCCATCTACCAGCGACGGCGGCCACCAGACTGGTTGTGTGCTTGCCGCCGTCGCTTATAGATGGCAGTAGCTGTCCAGAGGCGTTTTTGTCGACAAGTGTTTTGTACCGGACACGATCCTCGGGAACCAAGCCCTTAACAGCGCCGCTGTAAAATATAATCCGATAATAAGAGCGCTCGCGCTTGCCTGCCCGGCCGATTTGGTCTTCCAGGTTTACTTTTTAGTTGCTAGGCGGCACAAGTTGGCATCCTTATCCAGCAGCAAAAACGAACATGGCACACGTCTGTTGTTTTGTTTCCTTTTTTTCTAGTCTGTGCACTTTGTTTTTTTAGCTTTGGCACGCTTACCAAAGGCGCCACTGTCATCTCGCGTAGAGTTCCTGATCTGCGTCACTGATCAGGAGGGGTTCTTGTCGTTGCGCCACAGTAGTTTGGGCCGTTTTGAGATGCACACGCTTTATAACCATTCTTAAGAACAAGGCGAGGATGGTGAAGGCATACAACAGGTCTAAAATAGACCTGTTGGTTATCGGTCTATTTCTTCTACCAGTACACCGAGCAAACGGAACCTTGTCTATTGCTCGACTCAGTGGTGCTCTAATTCCAGTGGCAACAGCTCTGCCAAGTCCTTTGGGTTCCCGAATGACGAAAGGTAAAGACGGGCTGCTATACTTTTGATTATACAGTTTCGGATTGCCGAAAACTTGCTGCTGCATGTTTCATTATGGTAGAGTTATTGTAGAAGGTCAGAAGGGACAGGGCATTTATCTTAAAATGAGCGGTGTAGGCAATATCGGTGTTAGAGCACCGCAGCTCGCTAGCATGTGCGTGGAGCAGCTGGCGCTGCAGAAGGAACCTGCGAGAGACCGTGGCGATCGAATCACAGTCGCTAACTACTGCAAAGTTAAATGGGTGATTGCAAGTCTGTGAATACTTGAATAGTAGTTTTGTGTAGATTTTGTTACTTTGTTGTGCCGTGCAGTAAAAATTTTTTTCTGTATAAAAAGCGTGCCTAATAAAAAAAGAACTTGCAAAAGAAGTTTGGACTTGTGCTCAGAATGGCGATGTGCGCACATCTTAAGCCGCGAAACAGCACCGGCTGGGCGCACTCTGCATCCATTGATTGACGATTTAATGAGAAGTGGCTGTCACTGAACATGCACTGCTGCCAAGCCGATCTCAATCGAACGACGCAAAGTCAAGTGCAATCGTTTCGGAAGCGTTAGACATTCGCAAAAAACGCACACTTTTTTTTTTTTTTTCTACAAAAGATTACATTGTTTTGTAGAAGAACAAGATAGGATGCAAATTCGTTTGGAGTTCGGAGGCTGCTTCGAACTCCGAACGAACTTGCATCCTTTTGTCGCCGAGGGTGAAAGAGAGGTAGAGGAGGGACAACACTTCTCACACCCTCCCCCATAACCAAGCGGTTGCCATGACGACAGCACGCGTATTGTTTTGTCTTTTTCTTATTCCTTTTGGAGAAACCCAACGCCCGTTAGGGGAGATTTGGCGCTGCCGTCTGCAATTGGAGTCCCAATGGGAGGTACAGGAAGATTCCGCCGGTTGACTAAAGTATGGGTTCTGTTAGTACGATAAACATCCGAGTACCCAAAGGTCGGGCCATAAATAACTTACGTGGTGGGCAGTCGGGCCCTCCAGCATCTCCCGCAGGTAGTCCTGCAACTGATCAAAAAGGTCGGGTCAGAGAAAGGTGTTTCCAGCAGCCCTGGCTAGTAACTTCATATAAAGTCATGAATTTTGGCACTAGAAAGGACCATATACAACAATTCTACAAGCCATCCGGTGTGCCCCCTAGCAGCATTACTCATGCGCATCGGGGTGTAGGCAGAAAGCGCGGCATTCCACATCAACAAATCATGAGGATATATTGTCGCAGGCGCCAGTTTGGGTCCTCATGCTATTTTTAGGCGATTTAGTTTTCTTTGTCTTCCTTGTAACGCCCGACTGTTCTAGTGGCCTTTGTGAAATGGAGAAGGCTCGGTAAACCGTAAAGCGTTGCGTGAATGGTGAAACAGAGCAACCCCAAGGAAGAATAAACGCTATGAACTCAGCATGACATTATGCTGAGTGTTGGCATTCGGAAGCTGCTTTCCACACTCGCATTTTCTGCACAATCGGCTCTCTTTCTGCGTCAGGTGGACCAGTTAGTTGCGACTCGTTTTGGTCGCTGCTAGCCATATCTGGCATAAGCACATGGTCACATTTCAAATCGTGACATGAAACAATATGCAAAAAATAAAAAAGTTTATGTTCGTAACTTTCTGCCAATCTGTGTCGTAGAAAACAACTTTGGCCGTGTGACTGAAATTACCTAAAGACTGGCTTTCCAAATGAACACTACGATCGCAAAGCTTGTCTTAGTGATAAATGGTCTCAAGCAGTAAGCAACCTTGATTCTTACTAAATCATTCATACTAAAGCTGCAGTACCAAGCACAAAGATATTGTCAGTCTTTATGTCAAAATGTGCTTAATTTTGTCGTCACTATGCAGATAACCATCACTGCATGAACTTTTCATGAACACTGTGATGCATATTCATAGTGATTTCGTCACCATATAAAGCTGATTCAACACGATTCACTTTGCCACTTGTCCAAAAGTTTGACTAATTATCTAAAAATTTACAAGTCTGTAGCAAGCTCCCGCCAGATGCACCCAAACCCAAGTAATGCGTGCGTCAGGCAAGATCGCCAACAGCAAGATCACATGCGTCACTCACAGAGCTGAGAACAACTCATTTTTAGAAACACAAGGCACAATCCTGATAAAATAATAGCTGCTAAATGTTTCTTACCTCCACTGGCCACAGCTGCCACTGGGGCTGGGCTAGGTGGGGCTGGGACTGGCCTAGGTGGAGCTGAAAATAATCCAGTTGTTAATAAAACTTGCAGTACAATGCTGGTGATTAGTGCTACTAAATGTTTCTTACCTCCATTGGCCGCAGCTGCTACTAGGGCTGACCTAAGTGGGGGTGAAAATAATCCAGTTGTTCATAAAACTCACAGCACAATGCTGGTGATAAGCGCTACTAAATGTTTCTTACCATCTTTGGCCGCGTCTGCCACTGGGACTGGCCTAGGTGGAGCTGGGACTCGCCTAGGTGAGGCTGAAAATAATCCAGTTGTTCATAAAGCTCAGTACAATGCTGGTGACAAGCACTACTAAATGTTTCTTACCTCCAATGGGCACGGAGATCCCCGCTTGAACAGCCGCTGTTACAGCGACCCCTGGCACTTGTTCAGGAAGGGCTAAGAATAATCCAACATCCAATATCATGCCTAGCACACTAGAAATATGTATCAGTTCCATCTAATGACCTCTTTCATGGATCAAACTTCCCGCTTAAAAGGCTCAATATAATGCTATGCCGAAACAGTTTCACCCATCTTCAATAAATGCACTCTGTTTCTGGGACCAAATAATGTCACCTAGCTGAATCAATAGTAAAAGAGGTCTGTCCCACATACAATAAACCAGCAGTGGATGGCAAATTAAGGGAAGTCAGCCATTAGGCTGACTTCCCTTAATTATAACGGCTACCTGGGCATGAACTGTACATCTGCAAACAATACAAATGACGACACTAGGTACATGTTTCTTCAACAACAGCCATCCTCACAATTGTTGTAACCTTTCGGTATGTCAACAATACCCCTGGCACACAGGGAAATCAATGTCATTTTCAGCGAATGTCATTATTCTTGCAGACCGTGCTGCACATACATGTTTAACGTCATTAGACTCCATGATGATGATTGAACACCAGTCATTGTAGCAAACTATTACATTATTATATTTTAGAAAAAAAGCACTGCCTGTAGCAGGGTTCTTAAACATTTAGCAGGGTTCTCTAACCTTTTGGTCCCACGGAACCCCAGGAAACCAAAAAAAACTGCCTCAAATTTTTGCCGACCAAGAAGCAACAGAAGCACAATCGTAGGCAATTTCGCTTGCTTCTCATATATTGCCACCATATCATTCGCAATGTTAGTACAAAGTGAGATGAAGGCGCTTTGCATGATCCTGCCGCGCAGACCACGGCGTGGGGGACGGAGGGGCAGGAAGGTCAAATTTAGGTGTTTGCGAAACCCATGAGACTAGCTCTCGGAACCCAGTTTGAGAACCCCTGGTCTATAGCTTGGAACTGTCTCCTAGATTATTTAAACACAATAATAAGCAGATCTTACGCTGGATGGTATTACTTTGTTATATTATTAGCATTATTGTAGGTTCCGGATTGGACACCAACGCAGCAATTCGAAGCCGAAGCTACATTGCGATGTAGCAACATAGCCCCTGTGGTGCCACGGCTGTTATTAGAGCGTGAACCTGGTGATTTTGCATGTGCTTGACTTCTGGCAACCGTACTTATGTGTCTACGTGCGAAAGATCGCACAGAACTGCAGAGACACAAATTAAAAGTGGGAGCTGCAAAACATGTTGCAAAACGTTCAGCACTGTTTGCTCGCGTGCTCATTTGCGGTGGCTCAAGTCTTACAAGTGTTCTTCCCCTGCTCTTACGAGGGCAAACGTCTCAGCTGCAGACCAGTGGGCTTTCTGATTTGGTTTTTCTGCCTCAGAAGCAGCTCACATTGAAGCGGGGAGATCCATAGCCAAAACGTGATCAAAACGCCGAAACCGCCGTTGTCGACTTAAAACTAACATGGCCGACCATCAGGCGCCAAATTTGGTGGATGAGAACACGAGTAATTATTTTACATTCTGCACTCTACTGTCTTTTAGTTAAAAAAAGAAAAAAGAAATGCATATCTACTAACATATGTCTGAATAACTCGTAATTTGTACCTTTTACAGCGGAGCTGTTATAGGGCTAGTTTCCCCAGGATCGTGTCCACCGCAAAAGAAATGTTAACACAAAACTCTGGTTGCCGCCGTCACTCATAGATGGCGTAGCTGTCCAGAGTGTTGTGTTTGTCGGTTGTCTGCTTGCCGCCGTCACTCATAGTTGATGCAACCTTTCGAGCCTTTCCACTCTGGCTTGCTGACTTGTGGCCGGCCATTACTTCATTCCCACCATAGTACAACTCCGCTGGTCTTCCTTCTTCACCAAAGTGGAAAGGCTAAAAGCTTTTGTTATTATTATCTCAGATTACTGCGCCCTACAGTGTCTCTGCTGTCGAGATAACACAGTTTGCATGAAAGTGACTGCGAATGAGTTCGGCATAACTCAATCAGTAGTGAATGCCATTTCCAGTAAATGTCATTAAATACTGCCGTATGGCAGCAAACGAAAGACACTTCAGGCCGAATGTCATTTGCTGGTAATGACATTATTTTTCCCGTGTGACAGCGGTATAACTCAAACACTGAATAAACCTAGAGTCCCAGACATTGTTTAGACCTGATTGTCCATAAATTTCGAGAATTACCAAATAAGCATGATATGAAGTTTGGCATCGAGAAGGACAGCATACACAAACTTTACAAACCATTCGGTATTGTTGCAATAGTATACACAGCTGTACCACACAGCAGCTTGTGCCACATAGCAGATGGCTGCATACGTAGTCGACACTCATGCATTTTGCTACCACCGACCAGGCGGCACAAGCTGCCGTCTAAAATACAAAGGTGCTCATTCGCGCCCATTCAATCAAATAATGCTGTCGCACCCACTGGCTGCTGGTGTAATTGGAATTGTTCTTGACAACATTCTTAAAGCCGTGTTAAAGTCAAGAAAAAGCACTGTACAAGATGATCATGAGTTGTCGGCAATCTGCTGCATGAGATGGTAGCAAGTTTCACCACACCCCTAAAGTGGGGATTGCACATATCTTTCTTTTTTTAAGCTTTCATGCCTTGTGAGCTTGCCCACTCCATATTTTTCATGTTTCTCTTTTTAACCAATGTGGCCGCGCTTTCGACACCTGGCAATGTTTATGCATTTCTTTTAGATTTGAGTATCCTTTTACCTTTTCCATCAAAACACCAGTACAATCGAAATGGATGCAGGATCACTATCTACATATTGTGAACTAAGTAAACAGCATTTACCTTTTCCAAGCACTTTTGCGCAAAGAGCAAGCTGCAGCTCGTGGTTTAGTTTAAGCAGGCCCTCGTTCTCGGCCTTCAGGCGGCGAATCTTTGCTGCCCGCTTGTCGAGCTTGGCCCTCAACCTCAGCACCTCTGGGTTCTCCTCCTCCTTTTCCTCCTCCGAGTCACCCAGATACTCCACCAGCTCCTTTTCAACTTGGCTTTTTACACCGCACCTCAGATTTTTTTTTTTTTTCTGAAACGGAAAGGGTGATTTACTAAACAAGCACATACTTGCAGTACTTTGTTTCCTTTGCAAGATTTCCATTAAAGGGACACTGAAATAAAAATTCTCTATTTTACTGCCGGAATGGGTCAGGTATTTTCAGGCAAAACCATTGATCGTCTTAAAACAAAGAAAATTCTCAAGAACCAGTGGGACGAAATCTTGCTCCAGTGCAAGGCTTGCTCGGGACAGTAAAAGTTGAAAAAAAAAAAAAAATGCAGAAAGGAAAAAAGGTTATAGTTGTTCGTTCTGGAAGCGACTGAGACTCTCCCACAACTATATGTCTGAAGTCTCGAAATCGCAGTGTGACCCCTGAATAGGTATCATGACTCACTTTCGTCAGGGTTCCTGACTTTTCTAAGCTGGAGGACCGCTTGGCTGCTGGTTCTGATGCCCGTTCCCGCCTGGCTGATGGCTCCGACAGCTTCTCCTTGGTATCTAGTGGACATGTGATCAGAAGTCAACAAATAAATTCGAAATGCCATCTTAAATATACTTTCCTGCTGATTTTTGACAGTTGGCAGTCTGCCTATTGCAGGGGTCTCAAACACGCGGTCCGCGACTCGCTGAGAAGCGGCCCGCAGGCCCGCTCCTCAGCGATTTTCATGTCTCGAGCGCTAGAAATGACATGTGTCATAGTGATCTCATCTCGTCGATTCATTTTCGCTCGGAAAGTAGCTCCGCTCTTTTCACCTCTTCACATGGTTTATACTTTTCTCTGTTAATTTGCCCTTTGTTTCGCTTTATTCTTTGCTTCCCAGCTTTTCTGTAATGTACGAAAATTCCGCTACCTGTCTACAACCTCGAGCTATTCGTTGAAGGATACATTTCGGCTGCGCAAACTCTCGCTTAGCAGGAGCAAGTGCTAAAGATAAAGCCATGAGCTCGGGATTCTCACCTTCAAAAAAACATCACAATAAAAGACGAGTATTTGTTCAGAGTGTTATAATAAAAATAGTGAGGAATTCAAGAACTGCCAAATTAAATTATTGTTTTTTAAAGACATGTTGAGCTGGGAACGATAGATTACTTGCTCTCTTGTTCTACTAAAAATGCCAGCACGTTGGCGGGGCAGTGTAATTTTAATTTCTGTTATCACATCAGGTCAGTGCCCAAAGTTGTCATATACACAAATCAAATTTAAAAATGTCACTGGCAAAACTGAGAGTTTACAAAAAGCATAGGGCACGAGGTCTCTTCTCATTAAAATGTTCACCCCCCCCCCTACCCCCCCCCCCCCCCCCCGTCTTACGGAGGCCCTCCAACTTTCCAGTATGGGCTATCTGGCCCTCACCCTCAAACGAGTTTGAGACCACTGACCTATTGGAACTGTACTAAAAATGCCGACGAACGCTTGTATCTACGTCACTCCCTGCTCAGTGAACACTAACAAACAATTGCAATAAGACTAAGGCTATACGCACAACGTCGTGCACCTTGATCGGAAGTGGCTTTACGCACGACACGGAGACAGGGGTGGAACTCATGAAATGTACTTGGGAGCAGCCACGGGAGCAGCCGAAACAGCTGTTTTGGAGCAGGTCGGGAGTAGCTAAAACTACGTTCTGGAGCAGGCTAGGAGCAGCTGAGATCAGTTTTCATTGCACTTCAGCGCGTGTCTTAGACAAGCACGGGAGCAATTTCAATTGTGCTTAGCAGCACAGATGAACATGAGTGGTTAGGGACTTAGGTAGATGGGATAACAGTGTGGATGCTGGGGGGGGGGTGGGATAACCCCCCCCTCCCCCCCTGCATCCACGCCGCTCGCAAGGACAGTATGCAACTGCTGGCTGCTAAATATAAAACTATTAAACCCCCCCGTATACCCCGCTTCGAAGCATCCAGCCGGCAACCCAAGCCCCGCTGTCCCCCATGCACCTCTGGAAAGGGAGTCCCAAACCAATTAGCTGAGCGAAGTTTCGTCAAAAACATTCGGTTTTTTCAGTGTTAATCGTACAAAAGAAATTGCTAAATGCCTCGACAAAACACAATGTTAAAAAAAAAAAAATTTAAAAGAAAAGTAAGTTGACAATGGGGATTGAACCAGGGTTCGCTGTGTCTGAGGGAGACGCATTACCTCTATGCTATGCTACATTTCATTTTATTTATTTCTACTCGGGAGAGACGGGGGTGCGGCAGAAAGGCCAAAGGCAGCCAGACAGCCTGCAAAACCCAAACTAGATTTAAAAAAAAGGGGGGGGGTAGATGAACAATAAACACTAGGAACAACAAAGAGGGGGGGGGGGAGATAAATAACAGCAACAACAAAAGAGGGGGAGGGGGGTAGATAAACAATAAACACTAATGACAACAACACTATGCACAGTCAGAAACGGAAAGAAACGCGAACAGCAGGCGGACGGCCCCCAGAGCCATGCCAAAGCCCGGGACCCGCCGAGCTAGGGCTGAACACATCCTACTCGAATGTGTTCGACCCCAGTCCGGCGCGCTCCAAGCTCCAGCGCAGCGCCGGCGGCGCCCCGAGAACCGTCGACCGGCCACCCCCGCCCCATCCCGCCCCGACTGCACATATACAACAAGGATTATGACAGCGAGTGGCGGAGATGACTGGCCACCTCTCGACGAAGAGTTCCATTTCTTCACGCGACGTGGGCGAGCACTGGGTGAGGCTAGTAGGCAGTGAGCGCCAGTGCGCAATGGCCCTCACCGCGAAAAGACGGACGGTGTCTCTCCGTGCAACTTCGCTAATCTCGTATTGACAGCTGGTTTTATACGAGAACCAAAACTTTTCGCGTCGCGAGTCCTTTCTGGTCGAGGTGCAGGACGTCGTGCGTATAGCCTTATTCTTCCAATAAACATACTTGCTCAACACATCTTAAAACGTCAAATAACGTATCGCTAATTAATTACATGCACTTAATATTGTTTTCTGCTCTCCTTTTGACCGACCCGGTACTCTCCGCCGTGTGTGCATTCGCCCAAGACGTGCAGTGACAATTCGCATAACTGCCATACAAACGAGTGTCTAGAGGGTTGAACCACCATTGTGGATATATCACTCACCCGCCAGCTTGATGATCTCTGCATCGTAGTATCCACCTCGAGTGTTTTCGTCCCCATCCCAAAATACTTTGTAAGTCGTCCTCCTTTCAAAGTCAGCCACGTTGGCTGGATGAAAGTTCTTCACAAGAGCTGTCTGGACGATTGATACTTTGCCATCTTGCAGAAATTTCACTTTGGCGAACATGCCCACTGGGAGGGACGCGAGGAATGAAACGTACAAAAAACAAAACACACGGGAAAGATGCAGAAATACGCGGTACAGTACTACAGTAGAAAACGCGAATACGAGGGAATACACTAGGAACCGATACACAAAAGAAACTCGAATAAAATGGCCGCGATGGATCGCGTGTTTGCTTTTGGATTTGGATTTGGATATGAGGTTAGCATCTTGCCAACGCAGTGTTGGCAGATGGGAAAAAAAAGTGAATTCAGTAGATGAGATACTAGAGAAAAATATTATTTTTGTATTCCCGACCGTTCTAATAGATAATATAACTTAATAAATGTTGCACTAATCAAGACACATAAATTATTTGTGGCATCTCCATCGTTTCCGTGACGCCGTCAAGCCTATATGCCGTCAAGCGACCGAAACCGAAACAAACTTTTTTTCAAAATATTTCAAAAAATCTAAAGGGTGCAAACGAGCTGGTAAAGGTATAACGTCATTTAAGGCAAAGCCCGAGACAATGCCGAACAATGTAAAGCCGAGCCCGCCCCCCCCCCCCCCCCCCCCCCTTTCCCGAAACAAAATTAAAGCTAAGTTCGAGAAAGTCCTGTTTTTTGCTTTCTGCATGTTTTTCCAATTCGCAATTTCCAGAGGCCAAGTGCAGATCACATGCCTTCCAGAAAGATCCATCGTCGAAAGTGCAGTCCTTCTTTCCACGCTGTTTTATACGTATATATTTTTATTCTTTGTGGAAGTGGCCGGAGGGGTGTGCGCGTACGAAACCGTATCGGTTTCCTAAGTACACGCGTACGCGGCTGTGTTGGCTGTGTACGTCTGTGGCAACGAGGTAGTTGGTTTGTGGATGATTAGCTGAATGAATAGACGTATTGATAAATTACCCAACCATCAAGGAGAATGCAGGGATTGGTGTTCCACGCTCCGCCACACGTGCTGGCCTCAGCAGTAGTAACTTTTCTAAGGCAAACCCCTAAAACAAATGACTTCTTGCACACGCGTTCGTCAACGCTTTATTTTGGTTATTTACTTCAAATATTTTATACGGGGAAGGCGTGCGCGTGTGGCGCGTGGAACACCAATCCCTGCATCCACCTTGATGCTTGGGTAATTTAGCAATAGGTCTATTGAGGGCCACATATGCATTGGTTCGTTTTTGTTTTGTTTTTTTAATTTGCGTTTGTTTGTGAACATGAAAGCCAGCACCTTAAACTGCGTATTGTGCCCGTGAATTTATTTTTTTCTGTAAAAAATTGCTAGTAGGTTTTTCTTTTTTTTTTTCTTTTTTTTTTTTTGGGGGGGGGGGGGGAAAGGGAAGGAGAGAATTGGCAGTCAGCGCGCAAAATCGTTCTTTGTGGTTGTGAAAAGATCGGAATGACAGGAAAGGAGCAGCAGCTTTTATTTCTTCTGTGGAGATTGTTCTCTCTTTTACCGTTCTCGGTCACCCTTGTCGATGAGCAAGTGAACGGAAAAAGACAATTAACAAAGTGAAGCTGCTGCTTCTCATTTGTAATAGTACTATAAGTCGTATAAGTCGTATAGTCGTCCCTGGAGTTGTTCAATCGTCAGACTCTGAACGATTCGCACGTCAGACCTAGAGGTAGCAATTAGCTAAGGGTGAGTTCCGCTCGTGGATTTGAAGTGGTTCTCGAGGTGAAATGTATGAATTAAAATGTTTATCTGAAGTGTATAATAGTTTTGCGGTGAAATTGCAAGTCGTTGCTTCATTTCTAATTGCTGAAGCCATGTCTCCAAACTATTCCAAAATTCAATCCAATCCAATCCGAGCCGACCGTCTATTTGGATGTTGGTAAGCCTAGAGCACTATATAGCTCCTTCGGAGCAGAGTAGCGCAATCTAGAACGCCGTCTCTCGGCGACTAGCGGCGAACGCCCGGAGGTTCCAACTGCGGTCAGAAATGCATGGAGAACGTGAGAAAATCGTTGTTTCTTCAGTTTTGTGGGGATGTGCGGAATGGAAATTATTTTTGACATAATAATGAAACATTTTAGAATAATATGCGATAAGTTTTCTGCCATACAAGGACGTAACTTTTTTTTAAAAATTGCCTGAGCGGAATCATGCAGCAGACGACACGGCGACGTCACACCATTCACGTGACCCGCTCCGGCCAACCCGAAAAGCCCATCTCCGCTGCGAGCAAAAATCGTCTGCTTCAGACGCCATTGCCTTGGAAATTGCCTTCTCAAAATTTGCACACGCATCCGATATTATTAAAACTTTGACAAAGTGTTTAGCGCTTTACTAACTTCACGACAGGCTAGTTTTGAAAAATGTGAACTCGCCGTTAGTTTTTTAATCAGCCGTGTTATGTCGATCTCCATGTATTCTCCCATAAGGCGGGCCGCCTCCTGGAACCCTGAGTACCACGTGACTCGCGGCGAGCCGCTCTGTCGGCCATGTTGTCGGCAAAACACGGGGTTCAAAGGATTGCGCTACTCTGCTCCGTAGGAGCTATATAGTGCTCTAGGTAAGCCAAGACTTTCGAGGTGCTGTGAATGCTGTGCGAGACTTGTCGCCACTAAAACTCATAATTAGGGCTGCTGGTCGTAGGCTTTCGTTTCTGGCTGGGATTGCTGGTACTCTGCAACGTGATGCTCTGGCTCTACACGCCGTACTCTGACGCCTCGTCTCCTTACTGACTTCCTCATCGTAAGCCTTTTTTGTTTTAAGCTTTAATGGCAGTTGTTTACTCTTTGTGATATCTCGATATTATTTCACCCTTCGGTATGCCTCCCGGGAGAAAACGGCACTATCGGGATTATATGGCACCTGGGGAACAATCGCCCATTCCAAGGCAAACGCTGTGCAACCGCCGCAAAAACAGTAGAGTGTCAGATGGCGATCATGATTCTGTTTACGACCGTGGTTCAACTGACGAACTTGCCCCAGCCGACGACCGTGGTTCATCTGACGAACTTGCCCCAGCCGACGGCCCTGCCCCAGCCGACGGCCCTGCCCCAGCCGACGACCCTGCCCCAGCCGACGACCCTGCCCCAGCCGACGACCATGCCCCAGCCGGTTCAACTGACGAACTTGCCCCAGCCGACGACCGTGCACTATTTGACGACAGTGGTCCAATTCACGATCAATCTTCAGCGGACTCCACCAATGCTGATCTGACGTTGAATGGATTGGCCGAGCGGGAAGAACTTCTCAGGATAAGTGGTTCAAGCAGACAGAATGACCTCTGCACGCCGATGGCATCCGAGCTGTCAGGCCAAGGTGGCACAATGGAGGACTCATCTGCTGAAAGCTCGGTTTGTTTTGATACTGAACACGATTGCATCCAGGAGCCCTGCAGCGATGAATTTTTCGACTGCCAGGAATCGGTTGCAAGCCCAACTAGCGATGCAGCACCACCAGATGGCATCGAGGACCAAGAAGCTTGTGCTAATGATGAAGATGCTGAGATTCGAGACTACTTTGAACGGGCATCTAAGGAGGCTCTACCAAACCAGACAATGACGAAGGCACAGGCTGTGCTTCTAATCTTGTGCCTTGTAGTGAGCGGAGGATTTTCTTGGACGCAGGTTGACGGCATACTGAAGTTGATCAACACACTCTTTGGAGCCACCATTGTTCCCGACTCAAAGTATATGTTCAGGAAGCTGTGGAGACAAAAGATGAGCACCATAAAGTTTCACTTCTACTGCCACATTTGCTTCTCCTACCTTGGCATTCGGCCATCAAACAAGCCTGAGGAGAAAGTGACATGTGAGTCATGCAAGGAGAGTTACCAACCACGGACATTGATTGCAAAGGGCCACTTCTTCCTGACATTCGACATCAAGAGGCAGCTCCACAGTATGTTTTCAGCACTGGCAGAACCCCTCTGCCACACTTTGAAGAGGACCTTTTCTGATGCCTCTGGCATCTACACTGACATCTTCGATGGGAGATTGTATCAGAGCATCAGGAGACAAATGGAAATGGCTTGGAGTGACGTAACTGTGACGCTCAACACAGATGGTTCGCCAGTTTTCAAATCGAGTAAATCATCGGTGTGGCCGATTCAGGTCATACTAAATGAGCTGCCAATACATCTGCGGTTTCGAAATGTGATCGTTGGCGGACTGTGGTTTGCAAAGGTACACCCACCAGCACATCTCTTCATGAGGACGTTTGTAGAAGAGTTTGTCAAGATTGGATCCATCATCTGGAGTCATGCTGGGGATCCCATTATTTCAAGAGTCTTCGCAGTTTGCTGCTCAGTGGACTCGCCTGCACGAGCAGTGCTGCTCAACATGAAGCAGTTCAATGGTTACTTCGGCTGCTCCTGGTGTCTGGAGGAGGGGACACTCGTGAATGGTATGTACAAATTTCTTTGGAATAGAGTTAGCTTTTATTTTTCTCATTAATGGGTATGACTTAAGAACATCCTTTGTGAAGTGCAGATTTCATATCTTAAAGGGACCATGAAGGCAATTTAATTTTTTTAATAAATAAGGTGTTTTCGGAAGCATTGGGGTCCTGGCATGCCAAACAATTTTTTCTAGAACGTTGTGACTCTTATTTCTGGACCTGAAAATAAATTTGCGAAACCGAAACAAACATTCAGATTTCTTCCTTTTTTCGCCTCTGGAAAGAGAAGTGACGTCAGGGAGCACTGTCGGCATCGGTAGGATTTAGTGCCCACTCAGTGTGGTTCCTGTGGTTCGCTCTAGTGCACGGCGGTCTGTGAAGAAAACCTGGAAGAAATGGACGACAACGCCGCGCTCGCAAACGAGTTTGAGCTTCCAATCAGCGACCTCACGCCGACTGAACGGGAGATGCTGCTAAGGACGCAGAACTCTGGATTGGCGACCGATGCAGCAATGCTGCGCATTGCTGCATCGGTCGGCAGTTTATGCAAATTAACGTCGCCCGATCGACCGCATGTCTTTAGCCGACCTTTCGCACAACCTACTACTGCACATAAACGTGGCATGATTGGTGAGAGTTTGCAAAGCGAACACGAGACGACGCACAAAACC